ATATAATTAAACTTATCAATTTGATGGCGGATCCAGAAAGGTTCAAACAACAATCACCAGTGACAACTAGAGATTCACCCGTTGTAAAATGCAAAAGACTTCGGAGTGGCTAAAGAAAAAAAGAGACTGCAACCGGACCCATGCGAAAACGAGGATAAACATCGGAAGGCCATTAAATGTAGTCACGCAATGCTGATGTTGTTAACATTAACAATTTAAGAACAAAGTATAATTTGCACGGTTTTATGTGATATGATAAGCGATTGTTAGATTTAATCAGTGTGATTTACTGCAATGTCAGAGCCAGAACAAAAGTGGATGTTTCTTACTTGTTCAGATGACATTTTCGGTGAAAATTCTTATGTTGGTCATACTTCCAAAAAGAATAATCTGTGATTCTTCTGAATGCCATTATCCACACCGGCACGGCGACTGACAGCTGCACACTCTCCTCAAAACATTGTGTTCATCCGCGCTGTGCCGTGTCGAGGGTGTCGAAGTACAACTCACGTAAAGTTGATAATTCCGCGAATAACTGCAATTGCAGATTTCGAACAGAGATGGCGACAAAGAGGAAAAACTGCGGACTGCAGCTTTAAATAAATCATATGCACAAAATAATAATTAGTTCTCTCGATTTACTAAATCATGGCCATGTTGTAATAATTTGTTCTCTGATATTAGGTAAAGGGATAGTTCACACACAAATGAAAATTCTGTCTATCACTCATACTCATGTCGATCCAAACCCATAAGAATTTCGTTCATTTTCGAAACACAAATGAAGATATTTTTTATGAAATCTAAAAGATATCTGTCCCTCCGTTGACAGCTACGCAACTACCTCTTTGACACTTCAAAAAGTTCATAAAGATATTGTAAAATTTAATCCATATGAATTGAGCGGTTTAGTCCAAATTTTCTGACCAGACTCGATCGCTTTATATGATGAACAGATTAAATTTAGGCTTTTATTCACAGTGGTCAATAAAGTCAAATAATGGTATGCGAGAGAGTCAGTGGTAATATCATTGTGATCCTGTCGGTCGGTGTTAGAGGAACTCTGCAACAACTCTGAGCTGAGTGACTGAGCCTGAGCTATGTTAAATTTGCTTTATGGAACCAATTTAACTGTCAATGAGTCAGACTAACTGAAAAAAAGCCTGGCCTATTTTGTAAACTTGTTTTATGGAACAGGCCTCTTAAAGGTGGGGTAAGCGATATTTGAAACGCAATAAGACACAACGACAAGCCAATCAGCATTAGGGGCCGTAAGAAGGTGGAGGAGAGAGAACGAACTAGAGAGAGATTTGAATAAAGACTGTAGAAAGAGAGATGGCTGAGAGACATTACAAAAGAGATAAAGCATATATAAAAATATGAGGGTTATAATCAGGATAGAGCTTTAGGACACACATCAATATTAGAAAAGCTTTCCAGCGCTGGAGAATGCTTTGATTTCGTGTCATAACACTGGTTTTGAGTGTCATTGTTTGTCTGGAGCTGCTGTGCTGTTGGCAACTAACAATTTCTTGTTTGTATTTACTCTTGTGTATGTATGTTAATTTGGTAACGCTTCCTTTTGCAGTACAGTACTTACGTGTACTTACAGTGTACTTACCTAGAAAATACTGGCTAATATAAGGTAAGTACATGGGTTAGGGGTAGGTTCAGGGTTAGTACCTAGTTATTACTCAGTAATTATAGTTACTATAATAAGTACATAGTAAGTACATGGGTAACAGGACTGTAAAAGGAAGCGTTACTGTTCATTTTTTGTGCTTCCTTGTCGTTTGTTCATCATCATTTTTCGCGAGGCATTATTTTGTTGCGTGTTTGCTACAATAAATAGACATCCACTCTTGCATTGCGTGTGCAACGGAGGCCAGCTACTGAGAGTTGTGCAGACTGATGACTGCTAGAATGCCGTGTTTATTGTTTAGCGCCCTTTTTAGTGCACGAGCCTCGCATGCCAGCGATCGCAGTTCAAGACTGACTCGGAGCAGGGCAGTTAGGATTGGAGGGCTTTGCAGGTGGAGCAATGAAGAGAGGGGTGTTTTTGTTTAGGGCTGATTTCAAATATCAACAATGTTCATCAACGACTCTGAAAAATAACATACTGCACCTTTTAGTGGAGTCGCAAAAATAGTGACTGTTTTTAAACAGGCTTCCTTGAACACTCCGCCTCCTGCCATTGGTCAAAAAAACAGTAGCCCTGCCCTAAATTTGTGCCATTGGTTGAGTCACTGTTGCTGTGCCAGGCTGGTTGGGATGCAATGTTTTGATAGCCCCGCGTGTTTACACATTTTGGAAAATGACCCTATAGTACACATGGCTCACTCATAGATGTCTGTGCATATTAGGTTTGGAGTATTTAACACACAAAAAAACTGCACACTTGTTCTTTAAACTACTCCTCTGCTAGTAATGAAAGTAAATCTCCATAATCCCAGTCTCTTTTCTGACCTTCCTCTTAATTGGTTTCTTCTTTCTCTTAGTCTAATCACTTGATTTGTCAGCCAGCATCACTATTTAACATTCACACTCCACGTCAGTTTCAAGAACACCTCACACCTCGTGTGCCCATGTTGTTCTGGAATAATGGAGGAGGCAGTGGAAACCGCGGTCGGTACAACACGTCCGTAGCATGTGGGCCTTGAATGAGACAGATCCCAATGTCACCTTCAGGAGAACGCAGCAGTGCCTGGCGCTTTTGGGAAGCCCACACGGTGATCCCCTACTGCCACGAGACGAGTATTAGCTCGTGAATAATTTCATGCATGCTAACACGCTGATTTACGAGCCACTTCACAGTTCCTGGGATTTAGCTGTAAATAAAACTGGATATTCTGTCTAAATATATTTGTTTAATATGTATTATTTTATTTTTTATTATGTTGTTTTTATATTATTTAGATTTTTTATTAATTATATCAAATATTTTTCGACAGAATATTCAGTTTTGGATCATGAATATATTCAACTTGCCAATTTGTAAGAAAAGAAATGCATGTACGGTACAATCATTCATAAGTTTGGGATCAGACCTCTTTTTTTTGCTTATTTTTCTGAAAGAAATTTATTTTATTTTTATAAATTTACTATGCATTTATAATGCTATAAAAAAATGTATTTTAAACTCTTTTCACCAAATAATCCTGAACTACCAAATGTATTGCTGTTTCCACAAAGATATTATGGAGCACAACTGTTTTCAACATTGATAATAATAATAAATGTTTCTTGAGCTGCAAATCACCATATTAGAATGATTTCTGAAGGATCATGTGACACTGATGACTTGAGGAATGATGCTGAAAATTAATTATATTAAAATACAAAACAGTTATTTTATATTGTAATAAAATTTCATAACATTACTGTTTTTACTGTATTTTTAGCAAGTAAATGTAAAAAGTTACACACTTTACCTTCAAGAGCACCTGCGACATTGGTGAATTTCTCCCTAAGCTAAATGGGCTAAAAAACAAAGGAACACTGAGTTGAGATGCAACCGGAATGCAATTAGGCGACTTTTCAGCAAGCAAGGAAAACAAATGTGGAATAAGTCCGAGCAGAATCCACTGAAGCTGCGTGATTAAGCCTGGCTTGGATGTCCCCAATGCCCCTTACACACACACACACACGAGACAGTTGCAACTCAGATCGAAGGCCCACCATAGTTTGGATTATGTGTCAATTTGCCACCCAGCTGCAGTGGCAGTGTCTCCCTTGCCGAACATGACTAGCTCTAATTAGGCCATGCTACCAATTACTGCTGATCCCAAGTCAGAATGAACAGAAAGAGAGAGAGAGGCAAAGAATTACACCATTGTTTCGCTTTCTATACCCAAACGCTGTGCTAAATGTGTGCAATAATCCATCATTTTGAGCGTAATGGGTTTAACATGCTCTTATTATATGTAGTATTCAATAGAACGTACAAGTCGATAGTTGGACCAATTTAGTTGTTCCTGAAAGGTTGTATAGTTATGGCAAAAGAGCATTGCTAGACCATTGTAGACATAAATGCATTAGAGTAATCATTCATTAATAAGTACTTACTAAGAAAAATATGAATATGCAGCAAATAATGAAAAATCTGCCATTATTTACTTGCCTTCATGTCGTTTGAAACCCGTATGTTGTTATTTCTATCGAACACTAAATAAGGACTTTTGACGAAAGTCTGTTACAGCTACTGTATTACTGTCATTTAGCATATTTTAGCAACTTAACTGTATTTTTCATTAGCATTGAGAGTAGCTGTTTGAATTAGCTTTTCCATAAACTAAATGCTTGTACCAGCGATTAGTGGTGCAGCACGACAAATTGTTTTTAACTCTCTCCCTGCAATTGATGAAATTTTCTGTCAATTATGAAACAATGCTTTCCTGCCATTGATGGAATTTTCTGACTTTCCGGGTTTTCACTATTATGTGGTAGGGGGCGCTACTACATATCTCTTGAAAGAGTACCAAATCTCTGGATCAAAACACAGGCGAAGAAGCAGAAGCAATAGATAAAAGCATTGCTTATGCACGTTGTAGTCTTTGAATTGCTTTTTTATGAAACTTACCCATTAGAAGTGGTAATAAAAAGAATGTATTAAGCTAGAATAAAACTGTTTTTTTTTTATTGTTTAAAAGCTTAGTTATCTATTTTTTTGTTTGATGCTTGTAGTATTGTAGCTAACTGCTTTTTCAATTCAAGTGCAGCTTGAATTGAATAGATTCAAGTGCCATTACTTTAAATACTGATTAGCATTTAGCTAAACAAGCTAAAGTAAACTATCAACATCCAGGACTGGAAATATCTATTTTATGATAGTGTTAATTAAACTACCCTCATGATGACCTTACTGTGTGAGTCACTGTATTGAGACCAGTTGTCCCAGTAGTACCTGAGAGCTTTCTCTCCTTTTTCGTCCTCTCTCCTGTGTAGCAGTTGTTTGTTTATATACCCATCTCTTTTTTCTTTCCTTGTCTATCTCTCTGCAGGTAGCCAGACTCAGTTCCCCATCACCCAGAATGTGACGGTGGTCGAGGGCAGCACGGCTAACATGACCTGTCGAGTGGATTATAATGATAACACCTCCCTCCAGTGGTCAAATCCAGCACAACAGACCCTCTTCTTCGGGGACAAGAAAGGTGAGTGTGGGCCGGATGAGCCGTAAATCAGTCTGGTGTGTCGAGCTGGCAGCAGAGTGGGTTACTGGGTCGGGTCGAGAGGAAATGTGCTGTGTAAGGATGAGTTTGGGCTCAAGACTAATGAGACTAAACATTCATGTGTGTCTCTCTCTTGCTCTCTCTCAGACGGGCCAGCCACACAAACAAACCAATCAATTCTACGATTCATAGCATCCACATCAGCACTGCAATAACAAAGGCAATTTAACATCATTAAAGGTTCCTTAGTGGGGAAGGATGGAAGTGTTCGACTTCAAGTCATCTGGGACTCGTACTCAACACGCAACAGTTTGTTTACAGCTGATTCTGTTAATGGCTTCCTTACTACAAACTATTTATTTATTTCTATGTCGTTATTTTTTGGTAACACTTTAGAATAAAGGTTCATCATTAATAGGTTACTATGCTGGATAAATAAGTAGTATTAACACTTCAGGTACTACTATTAAAGGTGCGATTTTTGGAGAGGCTAGCAATAGCGAGCTAGCTTTGAAAGCATAAGATCCCACCCTCCCTTCTGAGCGTCTCCAAAGCCAGGCCTCTTTCAAAACACATGAACACGCACAGCAGGGAGCAAACAAAAACTTCACGAGAGACGGCTAAAACTACCTCATTTCTCAAAGCACATAACATTACAATAATAATGAAAATAAACGACTTAAAGGGTAACTAAACACTAAACCAACTTTTTTTAATTAATGATCTGTAAGACTGGGGCTTTATTAGTGCTGTTTATTGATTCAAGTAACTTTTTTGACATTTGGGTATAAAGTGTTTTAATTCTACAATATATGGTGTAAAAACGTCTGAGTGCTGCCCTCTTCAGGTTGAACGGTGGCTACTGCAGTTGAATTTTCCTATTGGATGTTTGCGGTAGTTCCTGACGGTAGCGGTGAGAGCTGACGTAAGCAGGTTTCAGCTTACCACACCCTTGGTACGAGCTACCACGTCCATGGCAGTATAAAAACCATCTTGTTTCGTCAAAACCACTGAAGCGAGTCAGGAGTTGGAATTGCGAGTGTCGAAAACGATCAGGATAGAGTATCGGTTTGTCCCCTCTATCTCCGCTGGGCTCCGCCCACTTTTCCAGCATTTTTCAAATATTGCCAGTGGGTGGAGTCAGGCTCTGACCAGGGGTTTAGTTACCCTTTAAAGAGCGCTGACCTGTATCACCTGACTGCTGCAGATTCATTTCGGTGTTGATAGTGTTGCTGTTGAAACCCTTACATTTCAGTCACGAACCGCTCCGAGTATAACGTCACAGGTTTCCGTCTCTTCCAAATTACATAGTTATGGCGTGAACGCAGCTTAAGCTCGTTGTTTTGGTTCAGGAGGAACTGTAGAAGTTTCAGTTGTGTGGAGGTATGGAAATACATACGTTGACAGGCAGGTAGGACATTGTATGCTATTTAGACAAACATTTTATGGTTCTACACCTTCCACATACAATATACATATAATACATTTAGACCACTTAACTTAGAGATTGCTATCAGGATGTTAAGTGACTTTCAACCAGCATAACAAAAAAATGTTTCTGGAACAAATCGCCTACCCTGCCTTTAACTAATATGGAAACAAGCTTAACTAATCAGTAACTAATATCAAATTTCGGACTAAGATAGTTCCTAACATGTAAACCAGACTTGTGTTCACAGATTTGTGTTCACACAGGACGTGTTCTTGTGTTCAAAGACAGCTAGATGGAGCACAGGAGAATGGAGCACAAATCAGGAGTCCCAGGGTGCGTTTTTCAAAGTTGAACTACTTTTAACTTGACATGGCATCATGGTGCAATATGCTGAAAAGCAGAGAGATGCAACATCAGTCTGACGTATATGCACATAAACACAAGCTATTACACAAGCACTTGTTGTAAAATCTATTCAAACAAATCTATCGTATCGTATCTATCTATATCATATCGTATCATATCCTATCTATCTATCTATCTATCTATCTATCTATCTAATCTGGCTGTCTCTTTTCTATAATATCGATCGATCAATCAATCAATCGATTGATCGTATCTCTAATGTGACTGTAATATTGTGAAATAACATTACAATTTAAAATAACTGTTTTCTATTGTAATGCATTTTAAAATTGACAAGCATATTGGCAAAAGCAAAATTGACATTGCTGAGGTCACACTTTAAAGTATTGTTGTCACTGGCTAATTTCTCTGTCTTCCATCTTCACAATAAATAATTAAAGTGCGTAGTTATGATCGACTAGTCTATATGACAGGTGTTTTGAGGGGAGGGGTTGAGAAATATTGGGTCTTGCTGATGTAACAGACAAACAAATCATTTCAGAGATGGAGCAAGTTATGTTTTGAATAACAAATACAGACATTTTCTAGTAAACATGTGTAGATGAATCTTTCCCAATAAGACCTCTAACATGTATTTAGGAAGTAAATGGGGTCATTTTTGATTTTATGTTGACTTGAAATCTGTTCAGAACATAGCCAGGAGATGAAAGTAGATTTCATTTGTTATCCGATGTTAGTAACGGCAGGGCTTTTGTTTGTCTGATGAAAATAAGTCGCTTCATTAGTCTGCAGTGGAGAGCAGTACCATCACTGACATTTACGACTGCGTGTGTGTTCATGTGTGGGAGAGTGCAGGCTTGAAATAATGTATTCTCTCTCTATATGTGCAGGTATTTGCTCTATTTGTCTTGCGAAAACAACTGCTGTTGCATTTTTTAGATACTGGAGTGCTTTGAAATGTTATTCTTTCTTCATTTGGATATGAGATTATACGTCAATTCACATTTTACTGTAATTGTTGTTCTTGAGATTGGATTTTTGATGAGCTCCAAGCTATTCTTTTAACTTTAAATGGAATAGTTCACCCACAAATGAAAGTTCTGTCAATTTTCATTGTATGGAAAAGACCAGCATGAACATTTGGCTAAACATCTCCTTCTGTGGGAGTCAAACGAGTTTTGGCAGCATTGACACTCCAGACTGTGTTTACATTAATGGCCCACCAAAATGCGCTAGTCTGTCAGTCAGCACTATCTAGTGTTGTCAGAACTTTGTTGTAGTTGTCATCACAAGTGTTTAACATTAACACCTCTAAACATGACATTATTTTACAACTCCTTTTCTTATAATTTTTTTTAAGGAATGTATACAAAACACCAAAAGAACACAACTAATTTTTCCAAAGAGAAGACGTCTCTCTCTGTTTCATACGTAGGAGTTCTAATGCATTCATTAACCTTAACTGAGCTCCAAGTGATGATTTCATTTACATTTATGCATTATGCAGACTAAAATAACTTATACATTTATTAGTTCCTGCATTCCATGGGAATCAAACCCATGACCTTGAGTTGTGCTCTAATTTATGAATGCTTCAGACCAGATTTACTGTGCATGCATCAGAGATCAGGTCTTATTGCAAAAAATAAATTTAAATACTCCATATCTGTTCAGAATAATCCTGTATGTTATTCACATTAAATTAAAGTCCCCCTGTAGTCAATAATTGAATCCCTTAAAACTCATCTTTGATCGCCAAAATGACACATTTAAAAGTTTTTCTTGTAAAAAAAAAATTCTTAATGCCTTCAAATAGCTTGAATGAAAATCTACACCCTTTCTTCATTTAGTATATGTGGATTAGCCCCGTCCCACTGAATCACACCAGCTCAGAATACCTGATCCACTCGGTCAACTTTACTGTAGTAAGTGCTACACGATGGCAAGTTGAAATACTGGTTTAATTCAGCCGTATATGTTTAAACCAGAAACTGATTCAGACCAGTGAGAAGAGGAGGAAGAGTGAATTAGTCGATGTTTCAGAATGGTGATGCGTTTTATGTATCGCTCTAACGTCCGACACATAACGGTAATTGATATGATTAGCCTTTTGCTTGACTATGTTATCAAACAGCTAATAGTGTGTTGCTAATGTTACACAAACCATGTTCCTGTTCGCCATCTCAGAGTCGGACAGTTTCCATCTAAATATCAGCATCCTTAAAAATGCTTGAACAACATATAGTTCATCATAACATCGTAATATACATCATATACATAATTCACCCTCTGTATTATAAATGTAGCCGATTTTTCATATCAACAGAAAAATATACCGGTATAACCTGGCTACTCTTGAGAGTGCTTCTCAGCAGTTAATGATATGCTAAGCCCGCCTGCACGTTCACGGCATTGGTTACATGTTTGTAGAGAACAGAGATCATTACTCCGTGTCTTTGGTGTCACGTGATCCTTCATAAATCATTATAATATGCTGATTTGCTGCTCAAGAAACATTTATTATTTTTATCAAACTTTTGTGTTTTAATACTTTTGTTGCAAACTTGATGCATTTTTCAGAATTTCTTTAACTTACACCTTTGATCAATTTAATGCATTCTTCCTGTCTAAACCTATTAATATCTTAATAAAATAAATATATAAATAATCATACCTACCAAATGCTTGAACCACGAATGAGGCCTAGGTGAACTAACCATTTAAATGTATTTTATTTGTTTAAATAATTTACATGAAGTGGGTTGAATGATGAAAAAGATCAGAACTCTCAACAGACGGATAACAGAATCAATTAGCTAAATGAAACAATTGTTGTAACAAAACAGTCAGTGAGAGTCAGTAACAGTCATTTATTTTCTTTGTGATTTATTTTAAAACTGGATGTCACCTAATAATTTACATGAAGTGGGTTGAATGATGAAAAAATGAAAAAGAACTCTCAACAAACAGATGAAAGAACCCATAAGCTAATTGATCCGAGTATCGTCCTTGGTCCACATCCAGGATTTGCGTGTACAAGATGGACCAGAACTATCCATATTTGTATTTTGTCATGTTTTCTTTTCACATCTCCCAAGTGACTCCCTACATTGGGCCGGTTCTTGGCAAGCTCTCCCAACTGCACGGAATATGGGTAGAACTCTTTCTTTTGCTCCGTGTTTGC